TTTTTTTTATGGCATAAGCCGGTAAATGAGCAGACGGATCACCTGATGGTAAGCAATCGGCGTCGCCCATGGACACCTGGAACACCAGAGGCGTTACAAGTGCGTCACCGGCTTTTTGGGGATTAGGAGTTTGAGGATCGTTGGGGATTCAGGGATTGGGGAGATTGGGGAAGGGGAAGGTAATTCGGCCTCCGGTAACCTCACTCACACGACGAAACATAACGCAAGCGTTGCTTCACGTCGGTTTTTTTGTGAGGCCGTGGTATCACTCCGGTCGAGCCGGCCCATTCGTGCCGAAGCATGGCATATCAAAACGGCTGAAGGAATTGGGATTAACTCGATCGATTTCAATCATGGTGAGTCTAACTGTCGGTCTAACTAAACTACTTAAACTAAACTAACTATCTACCTAAAAACCTGAAAACCTAAAAAACTAAACTAACTAAAAACTAACGGGCAAGGGTCCTCGGGTTCGATTCCCGGGTCGGGCAAAGTACTACTAAGTTTCTAGAAAAAATTCTCAATGGTAGCACGGAGTCTGGAATTGTGCCCGGTATATGGCAATAGACTCACCCCCTATCACATAGGACTCATAATATAAATAATGGAAAGTGGGGGTTACATTGCACAGTAGCATTAAGTGCCGTAATGTGCGCCTCTGCCTACACCTTCGGGAATATAAAGCGTTATTTAAAATCCTTACTATTATAAATGGGATAGTGAGTTTGTTCCGCTTTCACGCCGTAACTACTAAACCGATTGCTTTGAATTTTTCCAGGCGTAAAGTTAGAAGTCCGAAATAAATAAAAGGGTACTTTTTATCCCGGAAAATTTTGATATTCCTGAGTGAAACCAAAAGAATTGGTATAGATGGCGCTGTGTCTATTTGTATATGTCACATAGGCTACTTTTATCCTTTTGTGACGCGAACGAAACCGCGGGTAAAAGCTAGTAGTGAATAAAAATGCATATTTTATTTGGAAAATGCTTCATGTCCCCCCATAGACACCCCACACTCACCCCCTATTACTGCGCATGCGTGTAGCGTGGGTCGCAATCTTTGCTAGGCAGTATTGATTTGACTTGACACAGTAATATCACCCTTCTTGTTTCCTCGTGGAGTAGAGAGAAGCGTCCATCTGCCACCCTCTGTTTGTAAAATGGACCTTATAGTGCTTTAAATGAGTTGAATTTGATTTGACTTTTGAAAAAATTAAAACTCTTTAACCGACTTCATAAAGGGAGGTTCTTAGTTTAGCCTGTATGTGTGTTAAATTACTATGGTTTCGGCTTACTCACGTAATTATTTGACGTGGAACTCGACTAGTTTCAAACCATGCTAGAGGCTCATATTCATGAGTAGCATTTCTCGACCTGCGACGCGGCGAGTGTCTCGCTGCTACTGGCTACTCGAGTCTGCGGGCCCAGCGCGCCCTCTGCCATGATTCACGCGCACGACACTGCTGGCACGCTAAACTCGCCCGCCGGTAGCTACGTTGGTGTTGGTTCGAATCCCGGGTCGACGCAAAAACAGTGTTACATACTGTAGGTACTCACTGTCACACTAATAATTTATTTACTACTAGCTTTTACCCGCGGCTTCGCTCGCGTCACAAAAAGATAAAAAGTAGCCTATGTGACATATACCTACTAATACACACAGCGCCATCTATACCAATAATTTGGTTTTCCCTCGGGAATATCAAATTTTTCCGGGATAAAAAGTACCCTATTATTCAATCCGGACTTCTAACTTTACGTCTGCAAAAATTCAAAGCAATCGGTTTAGTAGTTACGGCGTGAAAGCGGAACAAACAAACAAACTCACTTTCCGATTTATAATATTATATAAAAAAATAAAAATATAATAAATATAAATAATAAATATAAACATATATATCAATCTAAATTATTATAAATAATATAAATAATAAATATATAAATATCTATAAATAAATATACGAGGACACCGGTGACCGCAACCTATTGTTCTTTAATTGAGTCTATAATGACGGTACTCGACGAGTTAAGAAAAAAAACCCTACGATTCTCTCCTATGACGTGGGTGTGTTGACAAACATACAATTTTACATAACACAGTACACCCAGACCTGGAAACAACAATTTGTGAATCACACAAAGAGTTCCTCCGCACGGTACCAGTCGCAACTTGTAAAAAAACTAAACATGCAATAATAATTGGCCCAAACCGGTCATCGAAACTGAGACCCCTCGTTTAACGTATTAGCGAACACTCGACGATCAATACAATACGAATTTTTATTTTAATATCCGTCTGGTAGATTATTTTAAAACGTTAGACACGTATTTTTTATTTTCTTACAGAAACGAATAGTTTCGAAGATATATTGATTTGATTATCGCGTGACGGCTTTTTTGTACGTTTTATATAAAAAAATGAGATTTAAAAAAAAATCATATAATAATAAAAAAAAAAATAAAAATAAGCTAAATAAAGCTTTTGGGTTCATACCCCAACTATAAAGGAAATCCCTTTTTTTTTAAAATAAAGTGCCTGATTAAAGGATTATTCTGATAGGATAAATTAAGTAATTATTATTACCTTTATTATATTTCATCTCATCACTCTAAAAACTTCTCTTATACGACAAATATAAAAAACGAGTCTAATATTTTTTCATTACCTAATTGACAGAGTAATTAGATTTTTAATTTTCATACCCTGTCATCATCCCTATTCTATACCGCAAATATACCAGACATATGCATTTGAATGCCACTCCTATTATACCCCGTCCCCCTAACAGTCACCCCTTCCTTACCCCTCACCACTCGCATTGCACATGCGCACTTTGAATTCGTCGCCACGCGGTTTTCGGTAGCCATTTTGTGTTTAATAAAATCTCAATTTACAATCATGAATGAATGAATAAGTAATCCCTTCTTTTGTAATTCGATTTTAAAATAGACTTGAGTTGTTAGAAACGGTTTTTTGTAGCTACCAATAAGTAGATACCTGTGTTTGTTCGTCTGGAGGTGTATGCTAGACGACGCCGGGTATTACCTAAGAAATTACTCTGAGAAAAAGCCCCGAAAAAAACTTCAAAAGTCCAGAAAACACAGAATTTAAAGTATTACTGGGTTTTAAATAAAATCACAGTAGTAGCATTGAGTCTGGAATTGTGCCGGGTATATGGCAAAGTCAAAGTCAAAATCATTTATTTCAATTAGGCCAGAATGGCACTTTTGAACGAGTCAATAGGCTCATCTTCGCTCGCTTTTGGCAATAGGCTCATCCCTTAGTAAACGGGACTCATGACATAAATAGTGAAAAGTGGGCGTTAGGTACATTGTACATTGGCATTAAGCGCCGTAATGTGCACCTCTGCGTACCCCTTCGGACATAAGAAGCGTGATGTTATGGTATGTAAATAATTACACCTTTGTGGCAGGTAAAGCCAATTAAGTACTTTTAAGAGATAAATAATCGGCTTCCACCTATATAAAAATTTACGAAACCAATATTGCTGTACAATTGTACATGTAAAGTACCTATAGAAAGAACCTATACAACAAAAAAAAACAAAATTAAATATAAAAATAACAATATCTTACCTGATACTCGAAAATTCTGCAATATTCTTCTCAATATAGGTCTTGAAAACGATTTTAAACGCCATAGATTAGAGTAATTTAAAATTGCATCGCGAAATCAGGAGCGACACACGTCCTGCCTCCCCGACGCGCGAGGCTGGAATGAATCAATACCAGACTTTAGACAGACAGTCGCTACAAGCGAATAGGGTTGTTCTATAGTATTGATGTTAATATATCGATAGTTCGAAACTGGTTCCGGATTCATTGACATTTGAATATCAGATTTATGAACAATACAGTAGTTGACATCTAGTCAACTTTATATCGAAATGTCAAAGTTTATATTTTTTTAAAGTAGGTGTTACATTGTACAGTGGCATTCAGTGCCGTAATGTGCCTACCCCTTCGAGGATAAAAGGCGTGATGTTATGTTCTGTTATTATAATACCCCAGACGTTACCATATTGTATACATTGTATTGTATTTTACATATTTTGGTATCCGTACCTACTAATACCAATACCTATACAAAACTGAAGTAGATATTATTATTATTATACATTTTTTACACTTATTACAGTTTTTAAGGTGTAAATATTTTAGTTTTAGTTATTTATATTTTAAGCTGTTTAAATTTATTTAATTTAAAATAGTGAATAAACTGTCTACCTCGTTGGCCGAGTAGTCGCTAGTACGACTGCCGGGCAAGGGGTCTCGGGTTCGATTCCCGGGTCGGGCAAAGTATTATTGGGTTTTTAAAAGTCTTAGTAGTAGCACGGAGTCTCGAAATGTGCCCGGTATATGGCAATAGGCTCACCCCCTATTACACGAGACTCATAACATAATTAGTAAAAAGTGGGTGTTACATTGTACAGTGGCATTAAGTGCCGTAATGTGCACCTCTTCCTACCCATTCGGGGATAAAAGGCGTGATGTTATGTTATGTTATGTTAAGTAAATAAATAAAATAAAAATTGTTTATTTGATTGCTTGATTGCGCCAATTTCGCAAACTACATGTAAAAATTAAATAGTTATTTTTGTATTGTATATGTACATATGTATATATATATAAGCTACTCTTCGGAAACCTCTCGTATATCAATGACGTCGACGGAAGCGGCACTGGCGATCGCATCAGAGGGGGACAGCGCTGCGCTGGTAGCAACATGTACGACAGTGGCGTGCAGTCCATATAGGCGAAAAGGCTTTGCCTAACTATAAATATCGTGAATATATAACATACATAAAATGTACAAACGCGTTTATTAAAATTCAATAATATAATAAAAGTTTGTAAAAAAACGGCTAACATAAATACGCGCCTTTGTAAAGTAATGAATGCGCCCCGCACGCACCACGCATGCGCCACTATTCCTTAAATCTTGGTTGGTAGTACTGACGTCACAAAAGAAATGTACCAAAAGTATGCACCGCGCATGCGTGAAGTTCACGACCATAGTCACGGTACAGAATAACCATTCATAATTATATTACACGATTCCTGTTGATTGACAAAATGTTTGCAACTAAAAAATTAGAGGACCGTTCGTTCATCACTTGGAAAACGATCGTATTTTATTAAGAATTCTAAAACAATAAAACAGCAACAAGTTATTGTATTTTTAAAAACAATTAAATTATAAAAGGTTTTAAATTGATAAAATCTGTATATCGTAAAGTACTGATGAATGGAGTACATCAGCGCCATCTATTGAATTTTTTGTTGAAACTTCTGAACTCGTTCGATATAATGCGAATGTATTTTTATAAATGCGTATTTAACAAATATGTTTCAAGTGTTTTAATTAAAGCTTAACATTTTTACGCGTTGTCGGTTTATAGAAATTTTAAACGAGGAGTTGACTTTATTATTATAAAAGTTAAAAGGAAGTTATTGAAACTTCAAGATGGCGCCATTTACAACGTTTCAAATTATATGAATGAATGTTTTTTAGTATGAAATATTGGTTTAAGACGATGATGCAATTTCATTTGACTTACTAAATTAACCTTTGTTTTTTTTAAATTAAACGCTGCATTACCTTAATTTTTAAGCTACATTTTTTTATAATAAACACTCAATTGACTATTGGTAATGACTTCAATTCGTTTCCAATGTTTTCGGCCATATTGTTTTCATGTGATGTGCGATCGCTTTGTTTATGTTTTCGTTTAAATTATTAGGAATTAGTTTTAAACATAAAGTTGCATAAATGTGTAGTAGTAGTTAAATATATGTGTAGGTTTTTCAAATAGTGTATTTGTTTATCAGTTTCTAGTACAAGTACCTATATTATTCGATTGTGAAGTGTGTGTGAATAATAGGTAATTTTATGTGTTTGTTGAAAGTAAAAACAGTAAGATTTCGCAAGAAAATGTCCTTTATCGGACTAGATTCAGGTAAAGACCATAGGCAGAGGTGTACTCGAGTTACGAGAATTGACCCAAGTAAAAGGTAGGTAATGTAAATATGTACTATAATGGATCTTTTATTTGACTTTCTTGTTTATTGTTTGATAATTCTTAAAAA